CTCGGGTTTACTATTCACCCATGCTTGTACGGCGTCTTGTTCTTCTGTACGAGACCTTCTGACAGACCGACACATGTACCGCGGTCTGTGAGGTCGACTTTCAGGAGGGAGAGAGAGAGAGAGAGAGAGAGAGAGAGAGAGAGAGAGAGAGAGAGAGAGAGAGAGAGAGACTGCGGGCATAGGCGTCATTGCGGACGACGGGCTTAGGCAGCACATCGTGCGTTACGTATAGACGCCATAGTGCACGGCGGCAACAGGCGGCATACCTCACGGCGGCCATATGCGCCATAGCGGACAGCGGCCATGTACGCCATTGCGGACGACGGGTATAGGCGCCATCAAGGACGGCGGCCATAGGCGCGAAGGAGAGAGATAGAGCGAGAGCGAGAGAGAGAGAGAGAGAGAGAGAGAGAGAGAGAGAGAGAGAGAGAGAGAGAGAGAGCATTTTTGCGGACGGCGGCATAGGCGCCAAGGTCGCACGGAGAAAGAGAGAGAGAGAGAGAGAGAGAGAGAGAGACCGGGCTAGTATGTCGGGCCGGTCACCCAGCAACCCTGTCCAGGGGGGTCATGCTGTCAGCGCGGCGAGCGGCGACATCGCTGGTCATACAGCGAGCACGTCGACAACACAGCATGGCGATAGCGGTCCCGCGCCGTCCATCAGCGTTCCGTCACCGCAGACTGTGGGTGGCCACGTTGTCGGTGGCGATGGTGGGGGGGGTGCGGTGATGGGTCATACCGTCGATGGCGAGGGTTGGGGACATCTGCCACAAGCTCCCAGCGAAGGCGAGTAGGTGTGGGGAGGCGCCTCGACGAACGGTGGTGGGTGGCAGGCCGGCCCCGGCCATGGTCCGCCAGGATGGGGTGCGGATGAAGTTCTGTGAGCAGCCGCTTCCGAAACTGGAAACGGCAGCAACTTCAGTCCGCCGAGTTCGGGTGATGAAGGAGGTGATGGGGGCGGGGGCGGGGGCGGGGGTGGTTATGACGAGTAGTCCGTGACGTTTTTTTTTCCTGTTTGTTTTTGCTTTCGCGTTTTCTCTTCCACTACTTCTTCAATTCCTTCTCCTTCTTCTTCCATTCCTTCTATTTCTTCTTCTTCTCCTTTTCCTTCTTCTTTTTTTTCTTTTTTCTTCTTCGATTCGTTTTCGTTGATTTTCATGGCGAAATCGGATTTCTGGTCCGCAAAAAATTAGCGAGACAGAGACAGAGAAAGAGCTGACGAAATAAACGATGTTCTTATTCAATTTCATATTTTAGGGTCCACGTTTTTCTTCTTCTTGTTTTTGAAAAACTATGCTGCAAAGTACTTCTCTCTCTCTCTGTCTCTGTCGATGTTCAAAAAAAAAAATAAAAAAAAATTCAATCAATCAATCAATAAACCAATCAATCCAATCAATAGATTGATTGATTGATTGATCGAACTTCGACTATGTGTCTGTGAGTCTGTGCGTATGACTGTGTGTTTGTGTGTTCTCTCTCTCTCTCTCTCTCTCTCTCTCTCTCTCTCTCTCTCTCTCTCTCTCTCTCTCTCTCTCTCTCTCTTTTTTCAATGAATCAATCAATCAATCAATTTCTCCCCAATCTAACCTACATCGGTATCCCGACATTCGCACCACTTTTGGCTATGCGTCGTGTGTGTGTGTGCGTGTGTGTGTGTGTGTGTGTGTGTGTGTGTGTGTGTGTGTGTGTGTGTGTGTGTGTCCTTATCCCGGCAGAACACTGTAGCAGCCACGATCTTCACCACACACAGAGTAACACACACACAGTCACACACACACAAATACAACCCCCCCCCCAATGACGTCCAAGTAGTCAAGGTCAGAGCAGATAGCACAATGGAACCAAGTAACCATCCATTTGAGAACAATACAGCATAATCGTGAGTCAATGTCCAAGCCCTATCGGGCAACACCAACAACATAACCCAATGTTGCTCTCTCTCTCTCTCTCTCTCTCTCTCTCTCTCTCTCTC